GACTCTCCAGGTAAAAGGCCCATTTCGAGAGGATAACTTCGGGTATTAAATACGCTCGAGTGGCACATAATTGAAAATCTGATTTGGCCCGGTTAAAAAGGGACCGAGGGTTGACAACTTGGAAAGATTTTTTTGCAGATTCTTTGTCGATGAGTACAATAAGTCGAAACGGTTACTAATTCACAAAATCTCTTTGAAACCATCTAATAATGGAATATCTGTATTCTCATAATTTATACTTCACCGAGATATGAATGAGGGAAAAAGGAATAAAAGCCAAATCTTTTCATCGCTCTGGTAGATAGTAGTTCAGACGTTTTTTAGTTGTTATGGTAACAAGGACCACGAGAGGTCTGAGATTTGTCATGAATCAAATTTATGACCCGTGAATTTTTTGTAATTCTTATGTAAAATCCAACAATATTATTAAATGTTTGAAATTTTAAACTACCGGTTATTAATGTATTTCATTCTTGTTTGTTTTTCAATTGGAGTTTTGTATGTTCTTTATTTAAATTTTTTTAAATTCCTTCTTACTACACCTTTCCTTTTTCAAAAAAACCTACAGAAGTTCAACCACTTCACAATTGTATTTTGGTATAAAAAACATATAGTTAAAACTTTTAAAAAGTGTCGTCAAAATTTATATAGTAGCATAACGTTTTCGATCTAATCAGATCATCCTCAGTGCCTTATGTAGTTAAAGCTAACAATAAAGTTGTGGCTGTGACATCCATATATGGGTTTACATTATTCCAAATTTAAATTATGTTGTGAATCTAGGTCGATGACAGATAAAATTTAATATTTTTGGAGCTACATGTCTCCCTGCTCGGATTTTAACACGTGGTACTTGTCAGTTACAAAGACACAGACCAATGTCATATGGTAAATTAAATTGTATATGTATTGTATATATGGCGTTCTGTTTTGAGTTTCCATGATCTTGTTGTTGCTGGGTCTGCTGTTGACGATTGAAGTGTGTATGATGTGATTTCATGTGTATTCGGGGTCTTGGTAGACTGAACCTCCTTTGACATTAGGTGGATAACCGCCATTGTACAAAGCAAATGTAGCAGGGGTTTTTTGCATGTTTTTGTATCGTGAGGACACTAACACTTGTATAGTTTTGTGCAGATGGTTTTGGAGTGGCCGTACCTTTGATATCTCATACATTGTACTATTTTTTTCTTTTATTGGGCTACTAGGTTTATGTGAAAAAAAGCTGATGACTCTTAGGGAGAGCGCCCACCAAACTGACATGGCATGTGGCAAGTAGCAAGTAGCACGCGTCTCACATGTTATTTAAAATGTAACCAATGACAACGAGTGATTCAGCGCACATCAAAGTGACAGTGACGTTATTCATTTTAATCATTCGTTTTCATTGGTTACATTTTAAATAACATGATAAACGCATGCTACTGGCTACTTGCCACGCCACTTTGGTGGGCGCTCTCACTTAGAGAACAGCCTGGTATAATTTAGCGCGTGAGCATGCATCTATATAACTACATTCCTACCATCGGCATGTAAGTAAAGTTTATATTCTCTCTTAAACTATGCATACATAATAGCATAATTTATAGCATACCTGACAAATTCCCAATTGTTACAATTTGTATTTTTTAGCATTTAAGTAACCTCTCTGAAGGGTTAACAATGACGGGTAAAATCAATTGATTTATTATTTCAAATAAACAAAATTAACTTCCTATATGTTGAGTCGAGTTATTTTAAATGTTTATAAGATTAAAATTTAAATTAAATTACGCAATAACTTAACAAAACATATTTACAAACTCTGCTTTTGTTTTTTCTGTAAAATTCTGTTGTTAAACAGGTAAATTTTTATTGTATACCGGGTGTATGAATCAACTTTAGTTTTTTTCTTATAGTTTGCATCATCCTGTGGAATATTCTAGCATTTGTAGAATACTGAAATTAAATCGTAACTATAGCCTTATTCTTTCTCAACATTTTGTTTTTTGATTGATTCGCTTATGTTGGATAATACAAAAGTTAGGTGCTTTAACAACTAGACATGTTTTTTATCAATTTTTATCTCTGCGGAAGAGACAAAATAATCTTTTGGAAAAAAAGTTGGTGAAATTCCATTTCACTTGAGAATAAATTTTTGCATGCCGATATTGCTAAGCCTTCTTAGAAGAAGTAACGGAAGATATTTAACGGTAGTTCTAGGGGTAGTAGACCATCCGCAACCTGTATACTTAATTTGAATATTATCAGTCAGTTCAGAAAAAGCTTTTACCACAGTCGCGTCGGTCGCAAAATCTTGTAAGCTAACAGTCGCTAGCTCGCAAATTCGCTTATTAATACATTATATGTATTTGTAACTAAACAGTTGGCATCGCAATATTATTCATAAAGATTATAAGTCAATCATTTATGGTAATCTGTGTTTCTTCAAACCGCAGTATAGTTTTTATATAAAAGTTCATCTATTCAAACCACCAGTGTTGCCAGTAGTTTGCTTTAAATATAGAAAAGACATTCCGCTAAGCAATTCTACTTGTAATTAGTTATATATAATAGTGAAAATAGCGCCAGTGAAAAGTGTAGTTGAAATACTCCATATCACAGTGTTTTCGGACAGATTTCAGAAATTGCTATTTAATCTTAGTATTAAATATAAGCTAGTGTTTAAATCTGTTTTTCATTCCAGCCCCAGGCTGGTGGTCCTTCGTTCTTTAATTCTCTAAACACGCTAATATCCAAACAAAAGTCACTTGTTACAGTAAAAATCCAATAAAAATCTTCGAAAAATCTTCGAAGAAAAATCAAATTAACAATATTTTGGAAACCAAAGTCTAATTAAAAAAAAAATTGGATGTTGCCGCCTCTAGCCCTTAGTACTTCATTTATGATATCCTGGATATCAGATTGGGGGATATTGTGCCACTCCTCTACCACAGCTGTCTTCAGCTCTGCAAAGGATGCAGGGGCTGCTACTCTTGCTCTTACCCACCTTTGGAGGTTGTCCCAGATATGCTTAATTGGGTTACCTGTGGGGAATTAATTGGGGAACTGTGTGCTGACCATGGTAGAACTTGAATCCCGACCTCATTAAGGTACTCACGGGTAGATCTTGCTGTATGGCAACGTGCATTGTCATGCATTAATCTGAAGTTATCACCAATGAATGGTGCAAAAGTACCGAACTCAACAATATCAGTACGCGCTTCGTAAGAAATACCTCCTCAAATCATTATTGGCCCTCTTCGGTAAGCCACTGTTTCGGTTATAGCGCATGCAGCAAACCTTTCATTGTGACGACTATAGACAGGTTGGCGGCCATCTGGACCTTTTATGGCTATTCCATTCCGCCATAGTCCAGTTAGCATATTCTCGAGCAAAATGAAGTCTAGCCCTACAGTGTTGTGGCAGCAGTTGTGGTGCGCAAGCTGGACGAAAAGCCCTTAAGTTTATTTCTGACAGTCTTCTTCTAATCGTTTGTCTACTCACACTAACTTTTCTCACCTCTAGAAGAGACCTACGAGCTTCAGGAGCGGTGCAAAAGCGATTTCTCAATACTTTAGTGACAATGAAGCGGTCATGTCGTACCGAAGTGTATCGTTTTCGGCCTTGACCTGGCCTGCGTTTGTACAATCCTGTCTCCCGAAATCGTCTGATGGCATCTTGTACCGTAGTTCTGGGTACATCGAGTACACCAGCAACATGACGTTAACTGTAACTAGCATCAACTAAAGCCACTGATCTAGCAGCATCAGTTGGAACGAGTGGCATTTTTAAAATCACAAACAATGAATAACCACTAAAATTTCAACTTAAACAATATTTGCTCACAATGATATAAAATTACAATTTAAATTGTTAATTTTAATAACAAATTTAATTTTAATTACAAACTGTTCATGAATTGTTATTAACAGGGAAACAAATTTGCAACAATGTCGTACAACGACTATATGTCAAAAATCCTTCGATGACACAAATTTAGGAAACAAACTGTCACAGGTAATGTAAACAAAACAATAATAAGGGTGGTGGGGTTAATTTTGCTGGTGAATTAAATTGTCTGTATTGATGAAAAACATGGCTAGTTGTTAAACTACCTAACTTTTGTATTATCCAACATAAACGAACTAATCATAAATAGTTTTAAGAAAAACACATGAAAATTCGTACAATGAAATATTGTACGTACAATACAATGAAAATTTACCTGTTTAGCAACCATATTATTATAACGATATTGTCAAGGAATAAGGCTATAACATATTTAAAAAATCATTTAAATCGGACTACTAAGGTAGCCGGTTAATTTTGGCCTAGAGTGTAATTTATCGGTCTTCACCTTTACTATATATTTAAAATTAAATAGTGATCCTACATTGTTTATGAGTAAAAAATTACATTTAATCTTTGCATATTTTGTTTATTATATATTGTTATCATCAAATTTATCAAAAGTAGTTGTTAGATAGTTGTATCAAAGACTTTCACGAAAAAGTCTTTTAGACTTTTTAAATGTCTTTTTAGACTATCAAAGGCTTTTATTTCCTAATTTGTCTGGCCTATTATTGATAACGGACTCGTTTCCGCCACTTATTTATCGCACAATAGTCAGATTAGAACTATCTATACAAATTTATGATAATTGATAATAATAACCTCACATTTTCATCGTTTCATACTTTTCTATATTTTTTAATATCCCAACAATACGGCAACTCTGAACGAAAATGTCAACGTCAAAACTGGAAAATGTCCAATGGACTTTAAAGAAAATAATGAATATTTTGCCGTCTAGGTATTTTTAGCGTTGTTTTATTTTGTGTCAATAATCCCACTTAATTTTCTTGTATTTCGCTTTGTTTCGATGTTTATATGTTCTCTCTGATAAATTTACAGTATCGTATTCATCGTTACTTAACAGATAAAAGTTATAGGACATGTTCGACCGTTTCCTAGCAATTTATCGAAAAGTATAATGACCAAGCGATTGTGCAACTCACCTGAAATATAAGAGAGAGCCGCCGTTAAGACGACAGAGAGCATTATGAAGGCGATCGCCGTGCATTTCCACGTACACTTCGACGCCAGTCCTTTCCTAAAATGGAACCGACTAGCTTGAGGGAAGTGACTGGAATTAGGTCTTCGGAGATTGTTTCGGACGGGCAACACCGGTACCTGCAAACAAAGAAATAACTATGTTACTTAACGATACCATAAAAAGATGATAAAGACAAAAAGAGTTAATGTGATTTTCCTATTTCTCTTACATTTTTGAGAGTGAGACATGCACCATATTCTGAATTATAATTTATATTCATAATACGGTTTATACGCATTTTGTTTCTTTGCTTATAATTTAGAATTTATAGTAACATTCTTACCAATGAAATGAAAAAGTTAGTTTGTAATATTAATACTTTTTAAATGAATTTATCTTTCAAAATATTCCAAACTGTAATAAAAAGTTTTAAACGTTTTTATTACTTTGTCATAACCGTTCCATTGTTGAAGAATACGTATCCTGTTTCGCTTTTTTAAATGTAAGGTTCAAACTGTAGAGAATTAATGAGACGGGTTTGTCTACTATTTTTTGTACATGACATACATTTTAGCAATAGATAAATCACTAGACAGGTACTTTTTAGATGTCCTATTTCCGCAATAGTGACTTTATATTTAGGAAATGACAAAATGTGATAATTTTCCCCCCTACATACAAGCAAGCAATACTATTGAACCCAGCCTTGCACCCCTAAGAATGAAATTCGTGTGCTACAATTCATTGGGGCAAGGTGGATTAGGTCGTGTAATCAGGAATCACTCCAATCCACTCAGATGCTTCCGACCATCCTCCACCCCCCGATAGCACGCTAATGCGATAATATAATATAAAGGCTTCAAATCTTGTTTGTCATGTGGGAGCCCTAGATCTCCTGTTCTTCTGCATGATAACATTAAGGCGCTTTAGTGCCGTTATCTTTTGTGACTTTTAATCGAACTGTATTGCTTGCTCGGGCTCCCAGTCCCCGCTCCGAGCTAGGCCCAGTTCGGCGGCTTAGCGATTAAGAGTATGGGTCCTTCTTGTCCGTTTTTTGTTGGGTTTTGTTAATATTTTTTTTGTGGCTTTGACATTTTGTTAGTGTTTTATTAATTTTTTGGCGGCCGCAGCCGGTTTTTGTAGTTTTGTAAATTTTTTTGAGTTTCGCTCCCTGCATTGACTTGCAGACCTACTAACGGAATCCAAGTTGGGTTTCTACAATTTCCATATCAGATTTTTTACAAGTTCGTCTGTGAATGATGTCTAAGAACATTTTAAGTGAAATGTTGAACAAATGAATGTTGAGGTCAATGATTCGGTGAGTATGTCACCCGATTGATAAAGTTCATTAAATAGTTTTATCAGAACATTCATATACTAATGCTCTATCATCAACATGATGTCGATAAGCAGTTGATGTGGCCCAGGTCTTTTTCCATAAGTTTACAAATGACCAGAATTACAAGAAGTTGGCTTTTTCCATTCTACTCTTTTCCTTAGTTCTAAACTAAACTAAGATCATCACCATCAGCCTCTACTTCATGGATATGATTCAGCAGAATTGTTTTGTCATTGGCAAAAAAGTTATGTCAGCATAAAACATAGGATAAAACATTCTGGAAACTCGGCATGACAATAAAAGAAACAATATAGCCAATTTTAATTTTTTTGGAAAATGATGAATGTACTGATGATAGTTGATAGATTGGTTATTGCTGCTTAAAAAGTGTTTTCTTCGGCTAATGAGGGCGTTTATCTTTAATTGTGTCTTTGTTGTTGTTAAAAGTTTATCTAACCCTCGACATATATTATACGTTTTTTTCCGCGTAGTTGATCAAGATAAACACGATAGGATTATTTGAAAACACATTTGACATAACCTTTTAGAAGCCAGTTTTTAACCATTGAAAATGAGTGAACTCCGATAACGTTGAAAAAACTTTTATCATTCATTAAAACTTTTAATTTCGTACAAAATCACATTATATTTACAGTTTGACACACACAATATAATTACTTAAAATCTACTCTGTACAAAAAACATCACATACACCCACTCTTTACAATAATTTTAGATTTATTTTTGTCAAGTTCTTACCGTATGTGCTCCATAGGGCAGACTTCCACATCGTTCGGAATTCTTCATATCCTTGGAAGGACTACTGCACGGTGAATTCGAGGACTTGTAGTCTATACTCGGATTTTTGTTGGCGTGATCTGAAAGAGAGAGCAATCATCGATTATGACATGGGTTCGACGAACAGTTGGCTGACGGGTACAGATTGATAGATTGGTTTTTAATTAAGTAAAATTTTTCGGTGGTTTTCAGGTAGAAAGTGCAGTGGTTGGTTAACTCTTTAAAAAAGTCTGGTTTGTTTCGAATTTATCGATTATATGTTAATTTTTCTGTTTAAAATGTGTAAATTATATAAAAAGTTGAAATTCTATTCTTAAATTTACGAAAAACGATCAAAAAAAGCAGTCTTTTTTAGGTTACTTGGGAATTTATCTTCTAGACTAAGAAATGGAAATATTTTCTTCCTTATTCTACCCATTACAAGGTTTGGTTACAAAATAAAGGTTTACAAAGAATAAAAGTACAAAACCAGTGTAAACATATCAAATATATCGAATGACAGTTATTTAATATTTATTAAGCAGACATGAAACAGGTAGCTGGATACCAATCCAGATCAAATTAATTATATATTCTAGACTATTAATTTGAAGCTGGACATACACCATCAAATCAAAGTGGGAAAGATGAGATCATAATTATTTAGATCTGGGAACAACATATTGGACCAAAATAAATTCACATTGTCAAAGCGGAGAGACAAAAAAATTGGCACTGATGGCAATAATTGATTATATGTAATGCAGAAAAGGAAAGTTTGTAGTAAGAAATCCAGTGTCAATGGAAAAAGCAAAGGAGAACATATATTAAAGTGGGAAGAACATTTTTAATATGAATTACAAGATAACTAGATACTTAGAAAAACCAGAAAGACGCCATAGAAATAATAAAGAAGAACAATTGATCAGATAGGTCAATCAACACTTGTCTTCGTAATATTTTTAGTGTATAGTGTTTAAAAACGATTGGAAATATGGAGATCTGGTAGACTTCCATAAATAAGCAAGTGCTGGTCAAGAAGTAGTAGAGGTGATACACTTAAATAGCACACAAAAAATCAACGAAAGAGTTACCTGATGCCACCTTAGACTACCTGGAGAAGAATGCTGCCCAAAGAGGATGAAAGTCAAAGCAAGTTTAAACATTACATTTGCCACTAAAACAGACCAGTTGAAAAAATGAATAAGCTAGTCCTAAGTTGAACTGAGAAATTAAAGTAATTCTTCTTCTTATGACACGATCTTCTATTGAAGGTTGGAAACATCTCAGCGAAGTAATATCTATCTTGTGAAGCTAGAAATAGTGAATATGAGTCAAATCCAGTCCAATGTCTCATATTTTTTCATCAGGAATGTTTTTTAGTCCCCTCTTTTCTTATATAAATCAATATAATAAGAAAATATAATAAGCCAAAGAAATATTCCAGTAGTTTTTTCAGTAGTTACCTTAAGAATGTCACATCTTATAACAAATACCTGAAATTTTTGTGATTTTTCTTGATTGGTATTTAAATCACTAGTAGATTAAAATCAGAAAAAGGAAAACTAAATACAAACAAAGAAACTGATTAGGACTAAAAAAGATCCAAGAGATAAAAATAGAATCGTACAATTATTTTTAAGTTATGAAAACACAAAGGCAGCATAACTACCGAAGATGTCGATGGAATGCATTTAAAAAGGAAAATGCTAATGAATAATATTGCAGAAAATAAAAAATATAGCTTTCAAATAATATAAAAGAATGTATTACAACATTTTTTTATATTCCATTATATTACAGCAAAAATGACGAAAGGTAGTACAAGTTTTACATTTTATTTCAAAGCAAATATGTTTTTTATCAATTTACTTGAGAAACTTTAACCTTTCCTTTGTATTGTTCCACCGTTTTCAGAGCATCATTAATATTTTAAGTGAAATTTTTATTTGTTCGCATAATAAAAGTTTGAGAATTTATTGTGTTGTTTTACTTGAAGCATGCTATTCAAAGAACAACAATAACGATAATGCAACAACCTAATTACAGGGTGACCTATTCATAGTGAGACATGAAAAAATAGCATATACCATGCAATTCAATATTTTTCAGGTTGGTATTTCATTGTCATATATAAACAATATAGGTAAAACACACATGTATTTTCGTTTAATGAGTAGGGATAATACACTATCAGTGTATTTTCTCCCTACACAATAATTACACAGACTAATCTAATATTTTTCAAGTCTTATCGGACCGGAGATAAATTATTTCTAATTCAATCTTTTATAATTTTTCTTTCTGTATCTGTTGCAGTATTAGCTGTACATATATATATATATATATATATATATATATATATATATATATATATATATATGTATATATATATATATATGTATATATATATATATGTATATATATATATATATATATATATATATATATATATATATATATATATAATAAGGATCACTCGAAGAGTGGCGGGTTTTTCGGTCAAAAATTGGAGAAAAAAGACAAAGATGATGGCTACTTCATCTATTTATTGAAAACGTTTCGCTATCCAATTTGATAGCATCATCAGTTCATCTAAAAAGAACAATATGAAAAACCTAACATCCAATGAAAAGTTATTAAGTATGTTACCTCAAAAAGATATGTAGCAGTCAGTAATATTAACAATTGTAAAGAATCTTACGAAAATGGACATTGTATAATTATGTTGTATAAACAATAAATTGAACTAAATATAGTTAACAATTTTCATAAAATTAGCACACCAAAAAAACATGTGGTAGTTGTACATGTATGTAAAAAAATTATAGGTAAAAACTTATCATATATAAAAAACAAAATTAGTGTGGAAAAGATCCAAGAATGCACTTCCAACAGTAAATCAATAATTAAGATTTCATTTTAACTTTAGGTAGCATTATTCTAATGATAATTAAAAATTTAGTAATTTAAAAGTAATAATGAAGTTACCACTGAGAGCTTGTCGAGTGCTGCCGGTGAAATGAAGGCAACAGGTGTTAAACGTCAACAACGTGAAAAGACAGATGCCAAGAGGTCAACGAGTGACAGAACAACAAGGCGTATTACTACCAACTCCAGTACAATAGAGCGGTTTATTTAAAAAATATGACAAAATTTGGTCGACAATCTATCTGTAAAAACCAAAAACTGAAAGGAAAAGGTGGTTGAGAACTCCTTTTTCCCTCCAGTGATCGGTTTAGATGAAATAAAAAACAAAACAAGAGAAGTTAATCCAAAAAATCATATGTTAATTAATAGTCTACGTTGTGACTGGTTAGCCAGCCACAGGGGAAGGATGATCAAACTTCCAACAGTCCAAAGTTCATCATATATATATATATATATATATATATATATATATATATATATATATATATACAATTTATATAAGAAAAAAGGTTAATGCGAGTTGATAGTAAAATAACGGTAAAAGATATCGGCATATCTAGCAACAAAGGAAAAAAGTATATAATAAAATATGTGTATAAGATGGAAGGTAACCGTATATACGTATTTCTGACTATTGGTCGTTTTCAGTACGGTACAGACAAGTTAGAAAAGGACCATAATAATGCTAAAAGACTCTGAGGTTTCCAGAGCAACAACTAACATATCCACGGAGGAAGTTAAACTACCCGAGAAAAGGACTGCCAAACGTTTAGAACGTTTCAAACAACAAGAAACTGGTTAATGGGTGTTGATATATACATACATACATATATATATATATATATATATATATATATATATATATATATATATATATATAGATAAGAGTTTAAAAATATCTTAAAGACACTTAAAGATGTCTCAAATCAAATAAGAAATTGTTCACAATTCATGCGTCTGTTCTTTTAATTAAAAGTGAAGAGTTTTTGTATACTTTTAATAATCGTTTATGATTTTTTGGTGTGACACCTTTCAAAAATAAGAAAATATCACTGCACTATATTCAAAATTTTCCATTGTAAAAGAAAAGTTTGGCATGTCAATTTCGAGCAGCTGTAAACATACTAGTGAATTGACAAATCTACATGAAACATGACTTGTGTTGATCAAACAATAGTACTCTCTTTAGAAAAACAAAACAGCGCCATCTCCTAGCAAACGACAAAGTTATTAAACGAGCGTTCATTATTTGTTTTTTTTTGGGTTTTGTCTTACTGTGATTAATAGGTTTTATCTTTATTGGTCATTTTCTTTATTTTATTGAGTTTAATTTAGTGCATCTTTTTTAGTTTCATTATTTAAGATTTCAAACATCAATTTTAGTTGGTTTTTGTATGAGCTATCAGAATTTTCAGACCGTGTATTTTAATACCTCGTTTCTAACGGTGCATTTTCTTGAAGATGTCCTATAATAATTGATTAAACAATATTAATATATAATAGTAAAATTACGGTCTTTGAACAGTCGCAGAATAAGACATCTCTTTCATGTTTGGTATTTATTGTAAGATTTTGAAGACAGTACTTCCTAGTCATTATTCATTCCATTAATAAGCTATCACACTGTATATCTATTTTGTTACACAATTTTCTTCGTAGATAAATATGAAAACTAATGTCTTCATTAATCAAGACACAATCTTATCTTGTTGAAATGTGTCCACCTACAAGAGAACTCTATCTAAGAAAGTTACGCAAAGATCTCGTGTTTACTATTAGAATATACGTTACTGCAGTCCGTATATAGAAAAACCTTGATAGGTGCATTTCACTACAGCCATACGAATTATAAATAATTTATTAACTGCTGCAAGAACAAGTTCTGCTGCCATTTTAGGCAGATGTGTGTCTTCCGCAGAGGCGTAAAAAATTATTCGATGATATTTTCTTTTGTTGGTATAACTGGTCAGTTTTATTGATGAATTGTGAGATGTATACATATTTGTATTAAAAAGTATGTGGATGTCGTTACCAAAAAGGAGTGATAATAAACTGGCTTGGTAACTGACCGATGCAGCTCATTGTACAGGGTGTTAAACAAAATGAACCAAATTAAAACTGTACACACAAAGATTTTATTTAACTTTTTATTTATTTATTTTATTTATAA